CTCCATGTCACAGCCCTGTGTTGGCCCAGTCTGCACCCCATGGGCCCCGTTTCTGCTGTCTAGGATTCTGAGGGGAGGGCTTCAGGCTAACCAGCTGGAATCTCCGTGGTGTCTCTGTCTCTGTCTCTGTGACTGTGTCTCTGGTGGAGCCCAGGAGGGGTCTCCCACTATCAGGGGAGCCATAGAGAAGCTCTTCCTCACCTCCTGAGACACTCAGAGCAGAGTCCTGGGAGAGGCATGCGGAGTACAAACAAGGAAGCTTCCTCACACTGTTCAGGCTGGGGAGGGCAATGTAGGCCGCAGAGCTGTGCCTTGAGCTCCTGAGGACCAGGGAAAGATGGACAGGCAGGGTCCAACCCCACCCCAGGGCTACGCCCGAGCTACCAGACCAGGAGGGTCCCGTGCCCACCTGTCCTGCTTCTTCTGCAGCAGGTCCCACAGGAGGTCCAGCAGCTCTACGTTGAGCCATCAGCCATCAGCCATCTTCCTCTGAGCCAGCCCAGGTTCCTCGTTGAGCCATCAGCCATCAGCCATCTTCCTCTGAGCCAGCCCAGGCTCCTGGGCCCGCCCCAGCTGAGTGAGCCCACTGGGCACCACCCGTGTCTCCTGGTGCAGGGACCCTGCATTCCCAAGCAAGTTGCCCAAGTGCAACTGGAGCCCTTGTCTCCAGAGGCTGGGAATGGCCAGGAATTCCCAGGTGAGGGCCTTGGACCAGAGGAAAGTGGAGGTGGCCCCCGACCCCCAAGCCAGGGACACAGGAGGTGCGCCCATGCAAGGAGGAGCATGGCAGAGGGGCAGCACAGATGAGAAACAGCTCATGGCATGGTAGGCAGAAGGCCAGAGGAGCAGCAAGCAGCAACACTAGCTGCAGGCATCCCAATCTCACTTCATTTTCTACCCAGGCTTTAAACCTATTGATCTGTGCCACCTACACCCAGGGTGAGGCACCCTTAATCCCACCACCACTCACTAATCCCATGGTCATAGCCTCAATACACAGACATTAATCCAACCGCCTCCAAAAAGTTTTCCAGACAAATCAAAGATCCCCTGCTCCAAGGCATTTTCCATCTCATGGAAGTTGCCCAAGTGCCCCTCTAGCTCAGTTTTCCAGGTGGCCATGGGCCATAAGTTCCACAGCAAGAGGCACAGGAGGTGCCACACGCAAGGTGGGGCTTAGGGGCCCCAAGGCCTGCAGGACAGCAGCAGGGAAGACAAGCAGGACAAGGCCCTGAGGGACAGTGTGGGCACAAGCTGGCTGAGGAGGGCATCAGCTCTGGAAGGGGCTGGGGCTGGGCAGGAAGCAGTCTGAGCCCCTGGAGACAGGCGCACAGCGCTGGGCAGGGGGCAGGCAGGTCCTGCCACTGCCTGAGGCAGGTGGAGCAGTGCTCTGCCCTCCCAGCCTGCAGGACAGCAGCGCACTGGGCCCTCCCTCCTGGAGGCTGCTGCTCTGCCCACTTGCTTCCGCTGCTGCTGGCAGGGGTGCAGCAGGGAAGAAACAGGCTGCGCTGGCATCCAGGCTTCCAGCAAGCATCCTGGGCTGGCAGCCAGCACAGGAGGGCGTGGCTGCAGGGGGTCCCTGCCCAGAAGAGCTGTTGAAAATGAGAGGCACCTGGAGGAGTTTTTTGCCCCCACCCCCACCTTCCCACTGGAGTGCTAGGGCTAAGCACTTCTGCCACCACGCTTTGCCACTCCTCCTCCTGGTCCTCCTCTTCCTGCTCCTCCTCCTCCTGATTCTCTCTTCCACCTCCTTCTCCTCCTCCTCCTCCTAGTGCTCTTCTCCTGGTCCTCCTAGTCCTGCTCCTCCTCCTCCTAGTCCTCTCTTTCACATCCTCCTCTTCCTCCTCGTCCTGATCCTCCTTTTGATCCTCCTCCTGCTCCTTCTCCTGCTCCTCCTCCTCCTGTTCCTCCACCTCCTCCTCCTAGTCCTGTCTTCCTCCTGCTGCTCCTCCTCCTCATCTTGCTCCTCCTCCTAGTCCTCCTCCTCCTGTTCCTCCTCCCCTTCCTCCTAGTGCTACTCCTGCTCCTCCTCCTCCTAGTCCTCTCCCTCCTAGTCCTGCTCCTCCTCTACCTGCTCTGCCTACCTAGTCCTCTCCTCCTCCTCCTGGTCCTCTCTCCCTCCTCCTGTTCCTCCTCCTCCTCCTCCTATCCCTCTCGTCCTCCTCCTCCTCCTCCTCCTCCTCCTCCTTCTTCTCCTCTGCCTCCTCCTCCTCCTGGTCCTCTCTTCCTCCTCCTGCTCCAACCCCTCTACCTTCTCCTCCTCCTCGTCGTCGTCCTCCTCCTCCTAGTCCTCTCTTCCTCCTCCCGCTCCTCCTCCTCCTCCATCTCCGTCTTCAACTCCCCAGTGGTCCTGTCAACCCCTGAGCACAGTGAGGATCTGGGACTCTTTGCATCCACCCTGGAAGGGGCCCAGCGCTCTGCAGAGCCCAAGGCAGGAGGAGCCCAGCCCTGCCTGCTGAGGGTTAGAGGCAGTCAGATGCAGGCCAGGTCAAGGCACCTGAGCAAGGAGGCAGCGGCTGTTGAGGCAAGGCAAGGCAAGGGAACCCAGAGAGGAGCTTTCTACCTTCCACTTGGGCTTCCTCTCACAAGGGGACATTCTCAAGCCTGCCGCAGACATTCAGTGTCATGGCTCGGGGACCTCTACTTTAACAAACTTTTGTTTTCTTACCCCTGGTTTTATTTTGGTGCAGTTTGCTTTGGCTTTTTGCCCGTGGAGGGTATGTTGAGTGAAATAGACCAGACACTAAAGGAGTATGGCTTTGTCCCCAGGCAAGAAAATGCAGTAAGTCTCTGACATGGGAACATAGGAGACTTCCACAGGAGTACTGGAAAGGCTTACTCGGTCAGCTTACAAAGGAATCTGACCTGGGAACCTTTCCCTTGGCAGCCTACTTGTCCATTCAGGGACTCAGAGCATCCAAAAGCCCCAGAGAGCTAGGCAGTATAAATACCCTGCAGTGCAGTGAGGCTGGAGGCTAAAGAACACTGCCACAGGCTTGGCACCAGAGTCAGCCTGCAAACACCAGCAGCCTTAGGGTGGGTCAGTGCTACCCGGAAGCCAAGCAGCAGAGACAATGGGCCTGAAGGAGGAATTGGACTGGTGGGGAGGGGATCCTCTGCCTTGGTGGCCCTCAGTCCTCTCAGGCCCTGGAGAGCACCCCCCAGCTCCCTCCTGCCTCCTGGGCTGCCCTTTGACATGCTCATAGGGAGTTGGCCTGCTCTCCCCTCTGGGAGCCCTGCTCCTCCTCCCTCCTCCTCCTTTCCCTCCAGGGCTGGGACTGCCCTCCCTACCTTGTGGCTCCATCCCCAGCTCCCTCCTCTTAGCTTAGATTCCCTGCCTGACTGAGGCTGGTGGGGTGGCTAAAGTTCTACACCTGTTCTTTAGGAAAACTTTGATTCAGCTCCGCTCCCCCTCCCACACACCAACTCTGTACAAGGCTCTCTAAGCCAGGCTAGCCCCAGGAAAACTTTTCTGGACCTGTCCAGCAGTGCAAACACCCAGGCACCCTGTTTTCACACCACCAACACAGAGGCTGTACGTTCATACAGTTTTTTCAGTTCTACCTTTCTTTTTCTGGTTTTGTGTTTGTTTTTTTGTTTGTTTGTTTGTTTTGTTTTTTTGGGTTTTTTTTTTTTTTGGTCTTTCTGAGAGGGGATTTTACTAGGTGGTCCAGGTTGGCCTTGAACTCACTTTGTGTCCCAGGCTGACTTTGAAATTTCAGCAAACCTCCTGCCTCAGCCTCCCCAGTGCTGGGATAATAGGCGTGGGCTACCAACCTCCCTCCGCCCTGCATTTATTCTTAAAAATCAGACCCAGCATGGCAAAAGTCATTTCCCCTGTAAGCATTGTCCTTGTGTCCCACAACAACCTCAGAAATACCCTAAAAGTCCCCTCATACCTAGGGGAAGGTAGACCACAAAGACACTGGGTAACCCTTCAGGAATTACTTTAGCAAATACATACTCACGTTCAAGCACTCTCAAGGGAGGTGCTTCTGGTTATTTACTGAAAAATAGACTAGAGAAATCTCTAAACATTCATGAGCCTAAAGACTCGTTTCCAGTGCTGTGTATGCATAGCAGTAAATTTATGGATGCAGGAGGCGCTGTGACTGATGTGCGAAAGAATCAGGGCAATCTGTTGAAAGCAGCAGAAAACACACAACACATCTTTCAGGTAATTCAGAACATTCGAATCAGCAACACCTTTGTGGACCCAAAAACATTCAGACCAACTGGGATTCCCATAGGAACACAAGATTCCGTGATGATTCTTATTCCAAGACAATAAACTTTACCGAAACACTTGAGTACCGGGGACATGCACTACACACTCCGTACACTTCTATCACAGTGAGCCAGTGAAATGCTTCTAAGAGTACACCACATAGAACTGGAATTGATTTTCACACTGCATATGCGCTACAGGACGAATTAATTCTCAGCACAGACGCCCAAAGACTGTTAGAATATGTCCAAAATTAAAGGTATATATTGTCTGTCACAAAAACTCGATAAAGCAATAACTGAAACGTTTCTGTTCTCGTAGCAGTAAGAAGAAAACAGAAAAGGAATACAGTTGTAGGGCAATGGCAGTATCTCTTCCAGACAGAATATGTGAATGGGTCAGGACGGAGGGTCACTGAGGATTAACCTAAACTGTCTGTTCAGTTAATTATGTGAGGTGTCCACACCACCTCCTCTCCAGGAAAGCAATGGTTAACGTGCTGCAGACGTGCACTGGTGAAAAAATACGACATTAAACACTAACGCCAGATGTTTGTATGGAAGTTCAGACAGATGGTGTCAGGAAGGAGAAGAAAGATTGAAACTCAACTTTTGATTTGATCAAAGATCTCCATCTCTCCGAAGCCCACTGGCAGGGTGTTCTACCTGAAAGACAAAAGACACAGTGAAGACTCACAAATGCAGCCTAGAGAGGGAAAGTTAGACTGAACTGAAAAGGAAATGAAGGTACTTGGAGGAGGAGGCAGCTGTCCTTAGCTCCAGAGTCCTGCGTAGTTCCCATGCACTTGTGCAAGGAGAGGCCCTCCTCCTGTGAACAGCTTCATTTCAGGCCAGTTGTAGCAGTGGGTGTATATTCCACAAGGAATGTCATCAATGTCATGGAAATCATTTATCCAGAGGTCATCTTCATTGACCCAGCCTTTGTCACAGTATAGTGTGAGCTTCCTGCCTGTGGGCTCAGGAGAGGAGTCTGGGTTGGTCAGAGATTTCTCCTCTAGGAATTTGCGTGCGCGGATGTCAAAGAAGAGTAGGCAACCATGGCCCGTGCCCACGGTAATAATATCCTGGTGGACACTCATGGAGCACACATCAATGCCACACTGCACGTAATACAGTGGCCGGACCCCGGCATTGAAGTGACCTTGGCGCAGATCCAATAAAGATACATGTGACTGGAAGCCAACCGCATACAGGGAACATTCCTCTATGTAGCTGAGGCATGTGTTTTCTTGGGCAACGGGCAGCCTAAAAGACTGCAGCCTGGTCAGGGCGCTCTGGGCTTTCCAGAGGTGGAAGTAGCCATCCAGGGACACTGCTGCCAGCTCTTGTCTGTTCCTATTAAAAGCAAACGCTTGCACTTTGCAGCTACCAGTGTCGCTACTGAGTCTAGGCAAGACTCCCGTGTCCCTCGGACGGATGTGGGCATACACTGGAAGGTTTTGCTCACTGTTCCCAGCAGTGCAGCCACTGAATTTGTCAGGATCCACTTCCCATACTGCTAAGGTCCCGTCCCAAGAGCCACTCACGACCACAGCATCACTGATCCATGCGATGGAGGTGATATAGTCCCTGTGGCCACGGTGGTTGCCCACGCACAGGGGGTCTAGCATGGGCAGCTGATAGACTGCGAGGCTGTTGGAGTTTTCACCCCCCGTGGCCAGCAGCGTCTTGGAGGGATTCAGCTCGATTGCTCGGATGCCAGAGGCAGGCTGTACCCGGAGCCTTGTGTTCCTCCTGCCCTGCAGCAGGGGGATGGGAGTGACGTGGTCGGAGTACACATCCACTACGAAGAGGGTGTTGCACTTGGTGCCACACACCACTTGGTGGTCATTCAGCCACTGTGACGAGAATACCTTGTCCACCGTGCCCAGGTGCAGCCGGCGTTCTGTCAGCAGCTCTGGCAGCCTCGATGTTGCATAGCTGTGCAGCTGGCTCTGGATGCCCTGGAGACTGGGGCGGCCCCGGGCCCCCACCGCGCGGCGCTGCAGATAGTGCACCACCGAGCGACTCCCTGACAGCTGGTTTTTGTCTTGGAGTAGCAAGGTTTGCGGTAACCTGTCCCTAATGCCTGCCTCGTCCTGGGCCAGGAAGACTGCTCTTCCCATCCTGAGACCTACTTGCTGTGGCACGATGTTTCTGCTTGTGCTGGGCTCGCCCCCATCACTGCTGAGGCTGGGTTGATCGCTGCTGGAAGGAACGTCAGACATTTTGACTCCAGGCGGAGGGACGGAGGTTGTTGAAGGTGTGAGGAGGACGTTGGGACGCTTGGGGGCGGGTGTAGGAGGCAATGGGAAGGAAGTCTGTCAAGGAGGCCGCTGGAAGGAACTAGGGAAGGAAGCGCAGAAGAGACTGGGGGAGGGGCTACGTGAAGGTTCTGGAAGCTTTGGGTGGGGGAGAAATTCCATTGGGTGGGAGCCACGTGCGAAGCCAGTGATTGGCCAGAATTCAGGGCCTGTAGGGCCAAGGCTTAATGTGCCTGTGGAGGCAGTGGGAGGGGAATAAAGTCTGTTGGGTTGAGAGCAGTGAGAAGCAGGCAGGCAGTGGTGGGTAGAGGAGTGGTTTAAGGTAAGTTGGGCAGGAAGTAGGTGTGCAACAAAATTCCCTGGGGTAGGGGCCGAAAGAAAGTCAGTGATTGGCCAGAAATCAGTGACGCATGGCAAACAGGAGGAGTGGGGCTGAGTGTTCTTGGGGTCAGCGGGGTGGGAGGAGAAGACATTTGGTTGGTTGACTGCAAGAAGGAAGGCAGTGATTCGCGGTTACTGTGGCGTGGTGCCATGGGTGGGGCCTGAGTGTACTTTGGAGACAGTAGCGGTGAGGAAATTTTCCGCTGGTTTGGAGGCGGGACCAAGTGAGTGAATGGCTGGAAGTCAGACACATGGGTGTCCATCAGTGGGGGAGTGGGGCTGAGTGTAGGTAGGAGGTAGTGGGAGGAGCAAGTGTGTGGGGCATTTTCTGGGTCGAGGAAACCGCAAGAAGTGGTGAGGAATGAATTGGCATGGGACTGAATGGGAGAGAGGGAGGGCACTGAAGGGGGAACAGCAGCTTCTGGAAGAGACGATAGTGCCCCCACCCCCCACTTTGTGATTCTCTACCTTTACCACAGCAGCTGCTTGAATAAAATGTGAAATCTGAAATAGAGTCAAGCCAGCAGCTAGAAGGAGTCTTTGCCATCATCTCTGTGTAGAAAGAGCCCCTGTGCACTTGGGGTCATCCTGGGAAAACCATGACTAGTATCAGACATTGAACTTGGCAGGAAACGGGGTGTTTGAAAGTGACAGGGAGACCCCCTTCCCCACTTGTTCCATTGCGCAGTCCTTTTAAACAATAGAGTGAACAAGGATGGAGATCACATATCTAGATCGGTGGAGACTATAGTTTAAACGCTTTTCTAAACTACATTGTGAAGCTTAGCATAGTAGCCACTGGCCCCAAGAAGTTATGCTAATTATATTTTAGTTAGTTAATTCAATTCTTCGCTCACCCTAAACCTAGAAGTCTTCCATAGCCACATGTTCATCATCCCAGAAAGTTTTATTCCATAGCTCCTCTGGGGAGTGAGGAACCAAACTCTCCTGCAGTCACCAAGAATATCAAATGGCTCAGTTCTCAGTGATGTTGGGATGGTCACCCACCCCTTGCCAAGGACATCAAGAGACTTCTTGTCACCAGTCCCTCTAATATGTCTTACCAGCCTGCGGCCTGATAAGCCCAGAGACTCTCCTGGAACCTTTTGGCTGGTTAGCGACAGAGCAAGGACTCACTTCTAATTCACTGTCCATCTTCTCCAGGAAATGCAAACTTCCAAGGAAATATTCCATTGAATAAAATTTCATAGTCATGTTTGAGAATTTCTAATCTGATAGGTATCTCAGCAAAAGTCAAACATACCAAAATAAGGTAGACCCCTCCGCCACCCAAGCTGTCATATATCAAAACCACAAGGGCATCTAGAGTAAGGAGATGCTACTAAGTGGGTCATATCTCCTCTTGGGAAATCCAAAAATACTTACTACAGGTACATGTGTTTGAAGTGCCTGCTGCTATTTTTGCATCCAAACTCACAATTAACATGTCTTTTCCAGTACCCTAATTTCTCTCCAGACTGCCAAAGAAGAGAAGTCACATCCCATTTTCAAAATGCAGTTAACCTCCGACAAAATACCATTGCTTTCACTTTGGATGGAATACTTGGATATAGCTCAACTCTCTGCATTTGGACAAATTTTCTTATGTTTAGGCTGGTTCCACAATATAAAATAATTTAAAACTTTCAAATGTAGCAAAATAAACTGTGCTTTTCAGGTTTAGCCATACATTTTACTTTTGACAGTATAAAAGAAAAAATATGGATGAAAAGTTTAGCCAGATTTTTTAAAATTTTATGTTAAAAAGGATAAAATAAAACATAACAAAACAGATCATAAGAAAACAATGTAAGAGACAGATTTCAAAGCAAGACAACCGGACATCTTCACTGTCTATCATATTGTCTCTTGTTTTCTTCCAAATAGTTGTCTGTATCTGCACACACAGTGAATTCATACAAAACAAATAGTATAAAACTGATCAGAACAGGACGTTGAAGGCATTTTAGGGCTTCAAGACCAGACCATACGGAAGTCAACAATAGCTGCCATAATGTCTCCCATTCTCTCCAAAATAATGGTCCGTACTTTCACATATGTTGAAATGTAACAAAACAAAACAGACTAAAATCACTCTAAACAATGAATAATAGCATTTCTGGATTTCACATCATGACAGAACTGGGTACATTAGTGACCCCTTTCCTACAAAATAGTTGTTCTTTTGTCGTACATTATATAATCAGTTCTCATAAACTGTTTATAAGTTCTACGCATGCGAGAGTCTCTACATGTATACCTATCCTTTTTGTTTTAGATGGTAAAACAAAACAAACTATACAAAAAAATTCCTAGAAAAACACAAAACGAAAAAGACATATAAAACCACAATACAAGTTGATCTACAATGGTTACTATGATGTTTCTTGTTGTCTTCAATAGAATTGTCTATAACATCAGGCATAGTATGATTGAACATAGCAGTACATAACAATGTTAATAAAAACAAACATTGGAGACATTATAGGACTTCAAAAGCAGGTAATAGTCAAAGCGTCAGTATCCTAGTGAGTCTTGTCATCTTCAAAATAGTTGCCTGTACTCTCCGACTTGATACTATGAAACATAACAGATTTGAATAAAATTAGTCAAGAAAATACAACAATCTTACATACCAGATTTAAATAAAATCAGTCATAATAAGACAGTGCAAGTAATACAGCGATTCAGATTAAGTTAATAGGAAATTAAGGATGGTTACCATAGTTTATCCTGCTATTTTTGGAATAGCTGTCTGTGCCCTCAAATCTAGTACAAGTAGACAGACTGGAACAGAATATAATCAACCAAACAGAGTGATGAGAATACTGTGGATTTTAAATTCTGATACACTATTAACAATGTCTTCTGCCTTACTTTTTAAGACAATTCCTCCCCTTTCACTTTCACAGGGCACACTGTACATTTTGGGTCCCACTAACTCCTTTAGTTTTTCGATTAGGGGGCAACCCGCTATCTACCTAAGTGGTTCTGAACCTTTTTACCCCTGAGCTTGATCTTCAGCTGTATTCCTTTACCTACTAAGCCTCAAGGTTTTCCTTCCTTATAGCTGAGTAGTTCTCCACTGCACAAAATATCATGTCTTTCCAACCTATCTGCAGCTGTTGCATGAGCTGTCCCTATTTCTTTCTGGTTCCCTGTCACATAGAGTATTATTTTCTCATCTTTGACTTTTGGTCCATAAACCCTCCTTCAGGTTGATTACATTTCCTATCCAGAGCATCTCGAAGGACCCTATCTCCTGATCTGCTCTGCCTGTGTTTCTTTTTGTCAGTGTATCAAGGCCATGTATGTTAGAGATTATAGCCAACCTTCTCTGCCTCACCTCTGCTGTGCTATTTTTATGCCATTGATTGTCTACTTTTTCCCTTCATTCCACTGTCTGCCCCATTCACTGAGGCCTCTCTGCCACTGTTCTGCAATCCTGGCGTTCTTTTTTTTTTTTTTCTCTCTCTCTCTAGAATGTCCTTCAGTATTTTTTGTAGGGTTGGATGGGTGGTCATGAACTCCCCCATTTCCTCTTTGTCATGTAAGCATCTTGTTTCTCCATTAATTTTGAGAGACAGTTTTTCAGGGTACATCAATCTGGGTTGGAGGTTATTTTCTTTCAGGGCTTATAATACTTTGCTCCAAGAACTTCTTGATTGATGGCTTGTTTTGAGAAATGTGTCGTGCTTTTGATGGGTTTTCCTTTATAAGTGATCTGTTTCTTTTCTCTAACAGCTTTTGATGTTCTGTTCTTGTGATGAATTTCTGGGATCTTGATTATTATATGTCTGAGTGTAGCTCTGTTTTGGTTGTAGCTGGCTGGATTTCTGTATGCCTCATATATCATTTCCTTTCCCTATCCTTGGGAAGTTTTCCTTAATTATTTCTATGAATAGGCTTTGTATTTCATTTGTGTTTACCCCTGCTTCTTCACTCATATTTTTTAATTCTTACATTATAGATCCTCTTGTCATCTTCTAGCCTTTGTATTGTTACTGCCTACCTCCTTGTTATTTTTAAGAGATCTGTCCTTTAATGATCACACATTTCAAATCTATCTTCCATGTTTCATAGTCTGTCTTTAGTTTCTTTCAAGCAATTTTTCCAGCTTTCAAAGGAGTTTTTAATTTCCTGGTAATCTCTTTGAATCTGGCTCTGGAACAGCCTGTTTCTCTGTCCCTTCAAGCTCCTTCATGGTGCCCAGAGGCAAAAAATGAGACTATAAAACTGTAAAATGTCTACAGACTGTCAAACTGCTAAAATACCTCTCCTGCGTGTAAAGCCAGTTCAGGATTTCTGAGCTGCCAATGCCACTGTGATTGCCCTCTGTGTATGTTGCCTCAGTATTCTGCCACCAATATCCTGCTTGTACACCTGCGTGGACCTAAAGAATTCCTTTTTATACCTTCAATTCACCCTCTTCACCTTTAAATGGCAAGACCCCAGCTTGGGACTCAAAAGCCAACTGACCCGGACTCAATCTTCTAGAGATTCAAAAACTTGTTTACCCTTTTTGTAGAAGATCTCCGAGCTGACCTCACTAGTTTCCTAGCAAAACTATGACTGTTCTTCTG